GCCCACAGCACCTATGTCCATTGTTGATCATGCCAGTATATTGCCCTGAATGATATCATTAAGAAACTTGTCCCTGGGAAAGAGGAATGGTATTCAAGGAAAACCATGACAGAGCCTCCCAAACTCCAGGGTGGGTGCCAGATGATGAGACATTTATGTCCATGTGGCATCACAAAAGAAGGTTAGCCCAATTTGGGGTCAATCATCCTTTGTGCAGCAGGTTCAGACTGGCCGAAGATGATGGATGCTTAAGTCCTTTGTTTAGGTGAAGACCAGGAAGACACAATAAGAATCCCAGGCCAGGGATTGCCGGTGAAAGGTCACCAAGGTCTTGGCGATGGCTTCATGGCTCCAAAAGCATTTTATATAACTATAAAACACAAAATATTAAAACACACACACAAGGGGCCCCATATCACCTAATCAGTGGATACTGGGATCTTTGAGAGTACAGAGGTTGGCCCAAGTTTGGGGCATGGAAAGGGGCAATGAAAAGGGGGAAAGAGAGGGGAGAGAAGCCCTGCTTGGGATGGAGGGGCTGTATGGTAACCGGGGTAGGCTGTGAAAGTAAAAAAGGAAAGCAAAAAGGACACAATGAAGGCTACAGTGAAACAAGTATGAGAGCAAAAGGACACCGAGGTATCTATTTATTAAGGTGTTACTATGTACTTGTCCTATCTCTGCATTAAGGCAAGCAACTGGTGTAGCTCTGCTAAAAGTGTAGCTCAGTGAGCATCTTTGGTTTTCTAGTGAAGAATTACCTGTATGGTTTTATGGATATTTCTTTATAAAGTCCCAAATAGAGCTCAGTTCATCCACTGGATAGTTAACTTTGAGTGTCTTGCTGGAAAAATTCAGAAAACAGTTGGAACATTATACAAATAAAACAGGAAACCAGAGAGAGAGAGAGAGAGAGAACTTCTGGAACATAGCCCTACAACCTGGAAAACTCACAGTGGTGATTTTGGTTATGAAAGCCTACAACAACACATTGGTTACTATGTAACTCATAAAAGGGGGTTTGGAGATTATGTATCTTCTGGAGCTTGTGGCTGCTGCAGGTCTAGGTTCTCCAGCTGGCCAATAGTTAAGGCCACTTTGTGGCCCCATTTCTTAAGGTTGGCTCTGCACCTCGTGGTGCCAGAGCGCAGCCTGTTCAGAACCTTCCAGGTCATCCAGATTTCTGTGTGCCCAGGAGGGAGTCTCACACCCAGTTTCAGCCACTAATTGAAGTGCTGGGTTTTAGCCTGCCACTTTTGGACTCTCGCTTGCTGAGGTGTTCCTGTGAGTGTCTCTGTACATCTTAGAAAATTATTTTTTGATTTAATGCGTTGGTGTGCTGGCTGATATCTGGACAGAGGGTGGGCTGGAGATGTCACTGCCTTGGTCCTTTCAGTAGGAACTTCCTGACTGTGAGAGCTGTTCAGCAGAGGAACTCTCTACCCCCTGGAGTGTGGTGGAGGCTCCGTCTTTGGAGGCTTTTAAACATAGGCTGGATGGCCATCTGTTGGGATTACTTTGAATATGCTTTTGGACTTGATGGGCCATGTGGTTTCTTCAAACTTTATAATTCTATAATTCTATATAATACAGTGCATGCATTATTAGGGTACCTTGAATGCGATTTTCCTGCTTCTTGGCAGGGGATTGGACTGGATGGCCCACTAGGTCTCTTTCAACTCAAGGATTCTATTATTATTATTATTATTATTATTATTATTATTATTATTATTATTTCTTATCAAAAGCATTGCATAAATTAGTATAAAACAGATGAAAATAGAAGGAGCACAAGTGGCTAAATATCTTTTGACCAAAAACGGGCAAAAGCAACAACATTGTCTGTAGCCTCCAACAATTCTTCTTTTGTACATGAGGCAGGGCATAGTGGACAAGCATACAGATGCAGAGTTGTCTGTTCTGCTCCAGTCATACAAGGTGGGGGATTATTTTAGGTAGTGCCATTTTGCCAGGCTGTCTTTTGATCTATCCACTCCACTTCTGGGTCTGTTCAGGGACTTCCAAGTTGTCCATTCTTGGTTTGCCCCTGGAGGAAGACCCGGGGGGGGGGGGGGCATTCATTTAGGATTTCCTGGTTTAGCTGCCCAGAGGGATAGTCTTGCCGTTACTGGGGGAACGTTAAAAGGAGTGGTGGTTCTCATTATAAACCAATTTCATTATAATGGAAACCAAAGTGCTCTTCCAGCAGGCACCAGCCAATCCGCCTGCAATGCCAGAAATACAGCTTAATGGTGTAACATTAGAAAATGTTGACCATTTCCACTACCTTGGCAGCTACCTCTCCACAAAAGTCAACATTGACACTGAAATACAACACTGCCTGACCTCTGCGAGTGCAGAATTTTTCCAGATGAAGCACAGAGTGTTTGAGGACTGGGATATCTGTAGGGATAACAAGGTGCTTGTTTATATAGTTATTGTCCTCCCAACTCTGCTATATACCTGTGAAACATGGACTATCTACAGATGTCACATGCAACACCTGGAACGATTCCATTGGTGTTGCTTCTGAAAAATCCTGCAAAACTTTTGGGAAGACAGGCGGACAAATGCCTGCATGCTGGAAGAAGCATAGATGGCATTGGTTCTAATGGCTTGTTCTTGAGCTGCCAGAATCAGGCCCTCGGTCTCCTTTTTCAAAGTTCCATTTGTAAGCCACAGCCATGTTTTTTCTTCATCAATTTGGCTCTCAATTTTTCCCAGGAACTTATGATTATTTCTCTATGATTATTGGCTGCTACTTCCTGGAGGATCTCTGGATTATCTGCCTTGATATTCTGGGTTATATGGCTGTGTGGAAGAGCCCCTAGTTTCTTCAAGTGTTAATCTGTTGACCTAGCACTCTTTGGCAAAAGCGAAAGCCCTTGTAAAACTATACACCTCCTGGGATTCCATAGTGCAACCAATAGGCTGTTAGGAATTGTAGGAGTTGCAGTCCAAGTTTGCCCAGGCCCGGTCTACACAGTTCCAAGCTGCATGGTGTTCAGAAGTGTGTCCCACTGCCTTTCTGAACAAATCAGTGTTGGGTTGTTGTAGGTTTTTTCAGGCTATATGGCCATGTTCTTGAGGCATTTTCTCCTGGGGCAATCTTTTGTTGAGAGGTGATTAGATGTCCCAGATTGTTTCCTCTCTGTTGTTTTGCTGTTGTAATTTTAGAGTTTTTTAAAAAACTGGTGGCCAGATTTTGTTCATTTTCATGGTTTCCTCCTTTCTGTTGAAATTGTCCACATGCTTGTGGATTTCAATGGCTTCTCTGTGCAGCCTGACATGATAGTTGTTAGAGTGATCCAGCATTTCTGTGTTCTCAAATAATATGCTGTGTCCAGGTTGGTCCATCAGGTGCTCTGCTATGGCTGACTTCTCTGGTTGAAGTAGTCTGCAGTGCCTTTCATGTTCCTTAATTTGTGTTTGGGCAATGCTATGTTTGGTGGTCCCTATGTAGACTTGTCCACAGCTGCATGATATACGGTAGACTCCTGCAGAAGTGAGAGGATCCCTCTTGTCCTTTGCTGAACATAGCATTTGTTGGATTTTCTTGGTAGGTCTGTATATAGTTTGTATGTTGTGTTTCCTCATCAGCTTCCCTATACGGTCAGTGGTTCCCGTGATGAATGGCAAGAACACTTTTTCTCTGGGTGGATCTTTGTTTCTACTCTCATGGCTTGTTCTCGGTCTTGCAGCTTTTCCGATGTCTGAGGTGGAGTATCCATTGGCCTAACAACCACCATGTCAGACTACAAGGAGAAGCCATTGAAATCCACAAGCATGTGGACAATTTCAACAGAAAGGAGGAGACCATGAAAATGAACAAAATCTGGCTATCAGTATTAAAAAAAATTACAACGAGAGGTGGCCCTAGGTAATTTTCAACAGTAAGCAAACAGTATTTTGCCCCCCTCCCCCCAACCAATCACTGATATATATTTTCTGTTCATCGTGGGAGTTCTGTGTGCCATATTTGGTTCAATTCCATCACTGGTGGAGTTCAGAATGCTCTTTGATTGTAGGTGAACTATACATCCCAGTAGCTACAATTCGCACATGTCAAGGTCTATATGTATGCAACTGGAGCAAAACATTGATGTATATATTAATTTCAGTCCACCAGAAGAAGGCCTGAAGTAGGCCGAAACCGGTTGTGGACGGCTGATTTACAAGCTACTCATAAGAAGATACGACTGTACTAAAATTTGCACAATATTGTTTGTTGTTGCTGTGAGGTTGAACAGTGTGGCATGTTTATGTACTGTTGTTGAATTATATTATTGTTTATCTTATACAAGTGGTATTTTTGTTGTATGCACTTCATTCAGGAACCCATTTATATTATATTATAAGGTCTATTTTCCCCCAAGAGCGCCCCTGGGCAAAATCAACTATACTGCAAATGCTTACTTTGCGTAATGGGTTGAGCCGCCCTTGATTACAACAGCAAAACAACAGAGAGGAAACAATCTGGGACATCTAATCACCTCTCAACAAAAGATTGCCCCAGTCACTGCCAGGTCATCAAATGTTAATCAAGGTGGCCAGTTGAAACATTCACACCTAGCTCCAGCAGACAAGAGTCCTTTGTCCCACCCTGGTCATTCCACAGATATATAAACCCAATTTTCCTAGTTCCAACAGACCTCACTACCTCTGAGGATGCTTGCCATAGATGCAGGCGAAACGTCAGAAGAGAATGCCTCTAGAAAGTGGCCATATGGCTTGAAAAAACCTACAACAACCCAGTGATTCCGGCCATGAAAGCCTTCGACAAAATCAGCGTAGTCTTGAATAGAGTTGCAAAGGAAGCTTTCTCAAGACTGTTCCTTAATAACTCTCTCTTTTCACTTTCCTCTCCCCCTACTTCCGGCTCCGAAGCCCAGGCTCCGTCCCATTGGCGGGGGAGTCGGGACCTGGCGCCTTTCGGCGAGGGGCCCGCCAGGGGGCGCTGCGCGGAAAGGGTGAGACCAGCCCTCTCCTCTCCTCTCCACCTCTCCTTCCGGAGTTTCCCCTCAGCAACAGCTGCTGCCTCCCCCCTCACAGCTCTTCCTCCGCGGCCGCCATGTTGGCTCGGGATGGTGAAGCGGGGCTCCTCTAAGGGCTTGTGAGCGAGCCTGAAAGCCCTCCATGGAGCTCCTGGAGCGGGGCTGAGCGGCCCCTTCCGAGGCGGAATTATTCAGGCCCGCCGAGGAGCCGTCTCCGTCAGGCAGGTGAGCACCCTGGGCGCTTCTCTCTCCCCGCGCTTCCCGCAGAGTCCCTTGGAGAGCGCTAGGCCTCGCTTTCAGGGCTGAAGCGACGCTTTGACGCAAACATGGGCCCTCCAGATGTTTTGGACTTCAACTCCCACCATTCCTAACACCCTCAGGCTCCTTCCTTTGCGGCTGAGGGGGAAAAGGAAAGAGCCTGAGGCTGTTAGGAATGATGGGACTTGAAGTCCAAAACATCTGGAGGGCCCAAGTTTGGCCCACGTCTCCCTGGACGCCTTCCTCTGTCGTGCCTGCTTCGAGTCTCCTTCCTAGGAAGTTTCCCCAAAACTTCCTCCTCTTCCCCCACCTCCTTATTGGAATATGTGTGTGTGTATATGTATGTTGTCATGTGCATCTCTACACTTAGACTTTTAACTACCATGACTCCATTCCAGGGCTTCCCAGTTCTCAGTGTTCTAACTGGGAAGACCTTCCCCTTGAGCGCTCCAGCTGGAGGTCAGCTGTGACCAGCAGTGCTGCAGAATTTGAAGAGGCACGAATGGAGGGTGAAAGAGAGAAACGTGCCAGGAGGAAGGCGCATCAAGCCAACCCCGACCGAGACTGCCTTCCATCTGGAAACCAATGCCCTCACTGTGGGAGAAGATGCAGGTCAAGAATAGGGCTGTTTTGATACTCTGGGTTATATGGCTGTCTGGCAGGCCCCTGGAAAGGGGATTGTGTGCCAGTTTGGGGATGCATCTACATCAAGCATGGGCAAACTTAAGCCCTCCAGGTGTTTTGGACTTCAACTCCCACCATTCCTAACAGCCTCAAGCCCTTTCTTTTACCCCCTCAGCTGCTTAAGGCCTGAGGATGTTAGGAATGATGGGAGTTGAAGTCCAAAACACTGGAGGGCCCAAGTTTTCCCATGCCTGATCTACACTAGGATTGATGCACTTTGACACGGCTTTTAACTGCTATGGATCCATGCGATGGGATATGTAGTTTGGCAAGGCACTCTTCTTTGGCACAGGAAGAGTGAAGACCTTGCCAAACTAGAACTCCAATGATGTGTGTGTTTGTGTTTGTCCCCTTTTCACTCTTCCTTTTCTTTCCTCACACCTCTCCTAGGCTCCTTCCACACAGCTGAATAAAACCCCAGTTATCTGCTTTGAACTGGGATATATAGCAGTGTAGACAGATCACCCTGTTCAAAGTAGATATTGTGGGATTGCAGATATTGTGGGATTTTCTGCCTTGATATTCTGGGTTATATGGCTGTGTGGAAGGGCCCTAGAAAGTTTCCCCTAAACTTCCTTCTCTGTTCAATCTACTTGGGGGTTGGGAGAGTAAGTAAAAATTAAACAAAGTAAATAAAACTTTTATTTCTATCTCGCCCTATCTCCCCATGGGAACTCAGGGTGGTTCACGACATAAAAGGCAAACATTCAGTGCTGTATAATACAACAATGTATTGAAAGTGTTTTAGAGTTGAGATTATAGGATCATGTTTTGTGGATTTCTTCAAATGATTTCCTTTTTATTCGTAGTCTTCAAGGTATACAGTGGCAGAAGGTTGGTCGCCTCCTGACCTGTGCCCACTAAACAAAGCTGGGAGCCAGGGAGGAGAGCTTTGTTTTGTGTGTGTTTTGGGAGTCTCCTTCCTATTTACCTTTCCATTTATTTCCTCTCAACTGCCCTTGAAAGTTTTCAACAAATTTCCTCTTTTTCACACCAATGGAAAGGAGGAGATGTGCCTATTTTGGGGTTAAACACTGGAGTTTATGTGGTTTGATGCCATTTTCACTGCATGGCTCAAAGTTGTGGGATTTGTAGTTTGGTGAGACCCCAGCAATCTTTGAGAAAGACCTTGTAAGACTGCAACTTCCATGCTTCCATAGCATTGACCATGGCAGTTAAGGTGACGTCAAACTGCATTAACTCTACAGTATGGGTGCAGCCATAGCGGATTTCCTTCTAGTGTTTCATCCTCAAGATACATTTGGGCTCCTGTCTTTCCTCCTCTTAAAGAGCCCACTATACAGATGTGGCAGCAAGGGAGGAGAGCTGCATTTTGTGTATGTGTGTATTTGGAGCCTCCTCCTCAGTCATGGTTTGGTTCTTTCCTCCCAACTCTCTTCTCGGCCTATTTCTTTGGGGGTGTAGGTGTTGGAGGGCAGATTGTGTACATGTTTTGGTCTCATAATGTGGAGATTCTTCAGAGGACCTCCTTTTAGTGTTTCATCTTCAAGATACATATTGGTGGATGGTTGGGCTCCTCCTAACCTCCCGACTATGCAGAGGGGATGGCCAGGGAGGAGATCTGCATTGTGTGCTTATTTGGGGGTCTCTTTCCCACTCATCCTTTGGTTCTTTCCTCACAGTTGTCATAGGAAATTTTCCCCAAAACTTGTTCCTCCTTCCCACCTATTCCTTTTGGGTGCATCTATGCATTCCCCTTAAGGTAACTTAACACCACTTTAACTGCCATAGCTCAATGCTATGGAACCTGAAATTTGCAGAGAAGACTAAAGATCCTGTAAAATGTCAACTCCCAGGATTCCATAGCATTCAGCCACGGCAGTTAAAGGGGTGTCAGATTGCATTAAAATGTCGTCCTTGGTCTCAGAGTCATTGTGGACATTATTCAAAGGACTTTGTTTTGGTGTTTTGTTCTCAAGATACACTTGATATACTTTGGCGAAAAGCTGAGCATCAGTCTTTCCTCTACTATCCTCCTCCTAACCTGCCCACTATGCAGAGGTGGCAGCCACAGAGATCTGCTTGCTTTCTGCATTAGAGCCAGACAACAAATCTGAACAAAAAAGATCCTCTGGGCATCCTTTTGTTAAACTGAAGTTTTGTTTTCGAGAGGGGAGGAATTAGAAGAGAGGAAACAAAATGATTCAAGGGTCTATGCCTTTTTAATTTCCTCCTCTCCCATATCTATTTTCTTAACTTTTTTAAATTTGATCAGGTTGAAGTTTCCTCCATTCTCTTTGTGGTCCTCTCAAGCATGTTCTTTATGTTGCTGTTAAGGCAAATCCAGATGATTTGTTCTTGGTAGTTTATATACTTGGTTCATGTCATGCAGTAAATTCACCAGTTTCAATACAGCTTTGTTTCTGGGCAACAGAAATGGTTATTGTATCTATTGTGGGTGGGAAGCTTTTGTAATAGAGATAAGTACGGGAGTGAAAAGTTGATGTCTGATGTGTACGTTGGTTTTGAGAAATGTGTTGGCTTTTTAACAGGCAATAATTTTGAAACCTGAAGTCTGAGTTCTAAGAATCATTAAGTTGTCTTGTAAGACATTTTATAGTTATAGAACGAGTAAAGTGTTTGAGCTTTTATTATCTGGCATGTGAATGTGGCATTTTAAATTTTGTTTTAAAAGACAGGAGAGAGAGAGAAAAAAAAATCACTTGACATAGTTTAAAATGAGAGGAGCACGTTTTTAATGGAATAATAAAATCATTGGTGGTCACAACACTCTGTAAAAGTTCTGTAATTATGAGAGCATGTGTATCTCTTTGACATGTAGTGATAGTTCAGTAGTATACCACAGTGGTGCTCAACCTGTAGGTCCCCAGGTGTTTTGGCCTACAACTCCCAGAAACCCCAGGCAGTTTACCAGCTGCTGGGATTTCTGGAAGTTGATGACCAAAGCATCTGGGGACCCACAGATTGAGAACCACTGGTATACAATTTGTATGTAGATCACAGACTTAATCTCTTGTGATGCAATAGTTATAGTGGGCACGAGAAGACCCAGATTTAAGCCTTGCCCCAGTCACCAGTACTCACTCCAGCCTTTTTACAGTGTTGCTATAAAGATAGAATGAGGGAGGGAGGCATAGAACTTTGTATACTTTCCAAACTCCCTTGGACAGAATCTTGGAGATATCTCTGCCACTCAGTTTAGACAATACAGAGCTAACAATTGCCTATCTTAATTCTGTTTTAAAAATATTTTTATCAAATACATTAAATACATAAGTAATACATAACTGATAATGTAGAAGATATCTATCAACCCCAAAAAGAACAGTAAAATATAAATTAAAAAAAGGGGGGGGGGCAACTATATAGTTCTTTCTAACACAAACCCTAACCACCACCTCATTGCAGAAAGCACATCTGTCTGTATTTACTTTAACCCACCTCCATCTCTACATATGTATTTTCCTCCTTTAAAAGTTGACTTTGCATTTGTCTGGAAAACAATTGTTCTGCTGTCATCACTCCCCCTTTTCTTAGTCTCGGATAGAAAGTAAGCAGGTTCCATTCTTGTGTAAAACGTTCATTAGGGTTTTCTTTTAAAAGCTGAGATAAATTGGCCATCTTTGCAGTATCTACTAATTTGCTAATCCATTAATCCTCAAAGGGTTTCTTTGATATTTTTCAACACTTAGCATTGAATATTCATGTTGCTATCACCATATACTAGGCTAGTCTACTACTGATCTGATTCTGTATGAGGTAGCTCCATTTATAATCTGATTTTTTAAAAGAAAAGAAAAAATTACTGGATTAAAACATAAGAATTTTAGATATATTTTAATATATTGGTTACATTTGCATGCTACTTAACAATTTACAAGGCAAGAATCATTTTTTTCAGACTATATACATGTATGTGTGTCAGACCAGAAGAGTATTTCCTCTAGAATGAGGACAATGATGAAATACTTCTTTCAAGTCCATACTTGCCTTATACAGTTTTTAAAGTCCTTTTGATATAGTTTTTAAATCTACTGTTACATGAATCAGTGTCAGCTGTTCAGTTCATTGTGAGTTATTCAATCAGTTAAATATTGCCATACCTACCATTCTTTTGTTACTTAAAAAAACTTTGATATAATAGTTTTGCTGGGATATGTCTGTAATCAAAAATAAATTTATGAAATAAAAAAAGCATAGTGGTGAAGTTAAAAAAAATCGTTTTTGAAGAACATCTGGCATGTTAGCAGTTACATTTTGAAATGATTCTCATTTTTCATTATTTTTGGGTAAGGTTTTAA